CCCATATTGTTCTGGCCACACCAGTCTTCCAGCAATTAGTTCCCTCTCTAGAGGTTTCCTTTGTTTTCCTTTTCCTTTTCTTGGCACGTTGGTGCTAGATTCTGGGTGAGGCTCTGTTGTAGCCTCTTTTTCGGCTTTCTGCCGTCTTTGAAATCTTTGCCATTGGGAATGAGACATGGGGTCCTTCCCCTTGTAGTTGCTTGATATGTGAGCCATTTTATTCGTTGTAGTAGTATGGTACTCTTTCCTGTAATCCAAAGAAGATCCCCTTGGCATGTCAAACGTTCGCCATTTTTCTTCATTGGGCCTTTTTCTACCCACAGTATTGAGCCAAGTATCCACAGGTACATTAGTTGGAGGCTGAAAAGTTAGTGGCCTCCTTACTTGGTTTATGGGTCCTTTTTGATGCCCCCTCCTAGGATCGTATCTAACTTCTGGATCCATTTTTGGTTGAGCATTGGTGCCCCATTTTGCCTTTACTGCTCTCATACCTTGTATGTGCTCCGCAACTTTCTTGTCGAAAATGGAACTGCATTTGGGACACAACATCACTTCAGACTTTTTCTTCTAGCATCGATGTAAAAACTCTGCCAGATCCTCGTTTTCTTTTGGAAATGTTGTCTTGTTCACTTCCTCTTGTTGAATGGCCTTCTCTGAAGCCTTGGCCTTAGATACCTTGAACATGTTTACCTCCACGTTTCTCTTGGCAACGAGGTTCAGTTTCTGCATCTTGGCTTCCAAGTTTTCTGTCAAACCCTTAACAGCAGCCAAGTAAGAACCTGTAGTGGTTCTCTTGTTGGAGCTTTCAACAACTCCTTTGTTTGAGCCGTCAGTAGCTCTTTTGCTTGAGCCTTCAGTAGCTCTTTTGCTTGAGCCTTCAGTAGCTCCTTTGTTCAGGCCTTCAGTGGCCTTCCTCACCCCTTCGACAGTTTTCCTAGATATGTTTCCAGTAAAACTGCCAAATACAGGCTTGTTGATGAAGTCCTCAAAAACTTCAACCATATGGATGCCAACTGCTTCAGCATAGTGTGCATCCATTTGTAGTGGGTTTGCATCAATTTTCATTTCCGGATTATCCGCGAACTTGAGCCTTCCTTCTTTGAGTGCTTCTTGAACAAGATCCCTGAAAAGAAAACATTGTGAGGTTTTATGGCCCATAAAATTGGGATATTTACAAAAACCTCTTTTCTTTCTTTGCTCTAAAGGAGGCATTTTTGCCTCAGGGAGCACTATCATTTGGCCATCTTTGACTAATAAATCAAATATTTCATCACATTTAGTGATGTCAAAACTATATGTTTTCTTTAGGAATTTGTCACTGTTCCTTTCAGACTCAACAAGATTCTTCCCATTTGAGGGCACTAGCAATTTACAAGAGTATGGCGGCCCTTGTTTTAATTCTGCTAAATCTATTTCACCTTCTTCGACATCTATAGGATCACTAGATGTCTTTGGATCGTCATCATCCATTTCGATATAGGCTACTCTTTCTCTTCGATGAGTTTTTGTCGCTTTAGCCTTTTCGGCTTTAAGGCGTTCTACTTGTCGAACTCTATCATCCAGTTGGGCCATGTCTCTCAAGTATTGGGTATCTAACTTTTTCCTAATGGAATAATCTAGGCCCCCTGCTTCCATTTCGACTAATTCATGTTCAGGCACTCGGGTAAAGCACCTGGCTTTAAGTAGTCGAAACCTATTCAGATACTCATCTATTGGCTCAGTGAATCTCCTCTTCACACTAGCCAGTTCTTTTAAACTTATTTTGGTTTGTCCCGTGTAAAATTGTTCATGGAACAACCTTTCCAATTGATTCCAATTATGGATCGAATTGGATGGGAGGGTAGTGAACCAGGTAAAATCATTTTTTGTTAGAGAACTTGGGAAATATTTAATCCTAAGGTTTTCGTTGTTTGCTATTTCCCCGGCTTCTATCAAATATCTCGCCACATGTTCGACAGTAGACTCTGTTGTATCCCCTAAAAATTTGGTAAACTTGGGGACTTTTCCTCTAGGGGTAAATTTGTTTGCAAAATATATTCTGACAATGGGGATGTGAAGTTTGATCTGTGAAAATCAACGTTCACCCTATTCTGTATCATAATCCTTTTGATCATGACAGTCAGATTATTATCTGTTCCATAATTTTGGTGTCGAACTTGCTGTATTAATTCATCGGAATTTTGGTTCCTATTCACCATAATCACTCCTTGATCGACTTCCCTAGGGATATATGGGGGATTTCGAGGCATCTCGACCCTCGGTTGCTCTATTTCTACTCTAGGGATCTGTGGATTTTGATTAACGGTTAAATCTTCTTCCAAGATTACCCCTTGGTTTGCTCTTATTGGTATTCTTTGGGGTTGTCGAATAGTTTGGGGTACCCCAAAGAATTCAGCCATGCGCGTCATTTGCGCTGCCATTTGTTGATTCGACTGGGTAGTATTTTGTATTAGGGGGTTCAGCATTGTACTTAGGGTTTGTGCCAGCATTTGCACCATATCATGGTTGCTTTCATCCATCTGTTACCTCAAAATTGCTGCAGAAGCATTTGTAAGGCTTGGTATTGCATGTGATGGTCCTCCTAAGAGTTGGTTTCTACCCAAATTTGCCATACTGGCTCCAGATCCCTGTAATGGTGATGACGTACTCACCAAAGGTTCTGAAAATGTAGACGCATCATTCATAAGGCTAGCCATTTCAGTGGTTGGCATGCCATATGGTTGTTCTCGACCCATCCAGGCTGTCGAAAATCCTGGGGGAACGTACGATCGAGATCCTGGATTTGCCCTTGGTGGGGGTGCTCCTAATGGAACTCTAGGACCTACATACGAAAGTATGGGTCCTGTTTGATTCGTGGTCAACGTTGGTACTGAACCAACAAAAGTTGACACATTTTCTCCAATGGTAGTTATAACCGCTGTTCCTGTAGTATTTGGTGGAGGTATTTCTCCATGATTTGGCTCATTAGCCATTCTATTTTCGCTATTTCTCTTCCTAACAATACACTCGTTGGTGGTTATTCTACCACTTCTTAATAACATGCAACACTGTATACGTGTAAAAGAAAAGCAATCACATAAATGAATAAATAGATGATAAAAATTAGCAACGTCCCACTGGGCATGCCAATTTGTTTACCGTGGTTTTTGGTAAACAACCGCTGATCCTCCAAAAGGGAAAGTCATTTTGGTTACTCACGGGATCGATCAGATTGATCCCAGAACATATGCTAATTTTATGCTGGTTTGATGTAAAAGTCAATATCTAGGAAGAACGCACGTTCGACCAGGGATATGGTGTTTGTGGTTTTTTGGAAAGCAAATAGAAGCGCAGATAAAATGCAAGAAACATAAACTTTGCAAAAGAAGATCAAAGCAATGTAAAAGACTTTATTGAAAAAAGGTGGTGTTTCCAATGTACATTCTCAGTTATTCTTTCACACACAATGGGTACTTGAATAATGTTGAGTAACTAGCACAATAGGTTGAACACACGGAAAATATACACAAACTTCCTATTTTTATACTAAAATTATGTAATTATCGAGGGGTTGCTTTGCTCTAGGATGAAGACAAGTGTCTTCTGCATGTCCCTCGACCTCTATCTTCCTGCCACGTTGCTTTCCCTTAACTGCTAGCGAACTGCATTTCCCTCCAATCTTCAAATTCAAATATCCTTCGTCCTTGGTGCTGACACGAGGGTTTGTTCTTCTAGTCGAAGGTCACAGGACCTTTCCTGTCGAAGGTTTGATGGTGATGTCTGGTCGAAGACCAATTTGTAACTCAGATATTTTCTCTAAGTTTCTCCATCCGTTGAAGCATTTTCCTGCTTGGCTTTATTTTCTCTATTTTTGGCCCATAAGGCCAATATATCGTGGGTGTCGAATTCAAGAGCCAACAGATACACATTATGTTCATATCAAAGTTACTTTGACGAATGGTATGTATGGATGACAGTGGTTTTGACAAAATTCATTGAAGCTCTATTTGCAGTTGGATGACGGTGTTCGATAAAAGTGAAAGGAAGATGGAAATTATCCATGTTCCAAATAATTGGAAGTTATAAATGTACACACGAAGACAATCAAGACAAGAATAAAGTTACAAGTAACAACTTACTTTGTCTTCATCCCGTACTCTTACAGATTTATCAAAGGAAGATGTCACAAATTTAGTTGAACCTGGTCTAAACCTAACATTTGTGATGAAAATAAATGTGTTTCTTCAGAAACATAATTATTAAAAGTGTCCATCTTCCAAATAAAGACCTGTTATCACAAAGTACAATTAGTTGGGAACACAAGGAAAAAGCCAGACCATGATTAAGAAGGGATAAGCTAAAATAAATTTGGAGGTTAATTAGCTTGAACAACCTTATTGTCATGTCTAGCACTTGCCATAATTTTTCCATTTTAATGAAAAATGGATGGTTAAAACCTTGTTTTTGCTCGAGTGACGGCACCTAACTTCTTCGAGTGAAAATTCTATCAAATGGTTAGAAATCCTTGTGTTTTGTGTTAGACATAAGTATTTATAATCTCCAAGAATAATAAGATTAAAGGCCACATAATAGTCTCGTTATATGCAGTTCAACACTACCTAAGGGGATAAAATAGTACAAAAATGTCTATGGTATACAATACATAAGCCTATATTATCATACTAACAGACTACGATGATTGACTTCATCATGCAAAAAAGTTTATGCCACTCTTACTACAACGACTCATCTGAAACTACATAAAATCAACTTACCAAGAAGATATTTTTTTTGAAGAACTTATCAAGAAGATTTTAAACTAATAAATTGTATTAAAGTGAAGTTACTGCAATCTATTCAGCATGTTTGAATAGGAATCATAATGAAGCATCTTCATTCATTCTTAATCAAAATGGAAGAAAAAAAATGAAAAAAATAATGATACAAGATACATGATAACTAACCGACCAGAGGATGACTCATAACATTGTTGAGCTCCTCCTTTGTCACACCAGGCAATCCTAAGAGACAATGGTTAACACGCCGTTGCACCTCAGCAACAATGTGTAATATATGTCGAAGAAGTAAGTCATAATTGCAGTGGATGCTTCCATCCACATAATTTTCAATTGGTATAACCGCTTTATCAACCAACCACAATTCAACTGGCCATAGGAAGAATAAAAACATATCAATACAACAGTTATAATTCATAAATTAAAGTATCAAGTAAGTCATAAATTGAATAGCCAAACCTTAAATACAACTTCGTAATTGTCACATGGCACAGTATCACAGTTTGGATACGCTTTCAAAGCTTCATAATCACTATAAGCTCCTGGCACTCCCTATATCGAACAAATGATTAGTTAGCATGACAAGCAATGTCATGGATATTTCAGCTGAATAGTAAATAGAAACGCCTACACATGATACTTGATAACCGACACACGCCTATTATCCATCACTCGCGGATAAAGAATCATCCAATGACGATAACGACTCTACAATTATACATTTCACATTGTCATGCTAAAATAAATAGTAAAATAGGAAAATGAATTAAATTGCAATGACACGAACACCGTGTTTGTATCACACATATTAACTACATAAAGCCTAAAATAAAAAATTTCATTACAAACACAATTTTTCTATGGCCTTTCTGCAAACACCTAGCAATGAAAACTTCAACCATAAAAACCATTTCCCCCAAGTTCAATTAGATATATATATATATATAAGTTCACGATTGATAATCAATGATGATATTATAGAGCAAAGAGACAACACATGAAAAGAACAATGGTTAGAACAACTCACTGGGAAGCATGTTGATGTATCTGTGAAAGCGACAAACCCTCCACCGCGAACTACCATTCCTCCACCAACTACCCATTCACCCAAAACCACGCCCTTTCCGCAACCAACCGTGAGGATCGCTTCGATCACATCCAAACCGCGACCACAACCACCGTAGGCCTATTCCCCTTTTTGATTTCATGTTCTTCTTCGATCATAGATATTCCACTTTCAAAATGTACATCAATGTTAAATCACCGGAGTTTCGTAGATTTAAGTAGAGGGATAATGAAGGGCGGAACCGTTGCAGAATATGAAATACAAAGGTTTGTGGGAATGGTAACTGTAACACCCCAATTTATTTAGAATTATTTTTAATTAAATAATAAGATGATGCGGTGAATTATATGAGTTGATGGATTTTATGATGTAGTGTAATGCCTTGTTGGGGACTAAATGCTTTAGAGTTATAAAAGTTGAGGTTATGAGGGTGTTTGGCTAAATGTGTAGAAACATAGGAGTGTGTGGAACGATATAAACTATTATTACTATTACTATATTATTAGAATAATAATTATTATTTTATAATAATAATTAAATAATTATTATTGGGTTAGTTATATTATTATTAGACTATATTAGAGTGAGAAGAAGGAAAGTAGAGTCAGCACATGAAATAGAACAAAAGGATGTAAGGTAGAAGAAGAGAGAAGCACTAGGAAGCTAGGGCAAGGATTCAATCATAGAAATCAATAACCAACCAAAACTCTAAGATAAGGGGGGATTCTAACTCTATAAAAGGTTGCCTAATGATGGAGTATGGTAGGATTTAGGTTGCTTAATTTTGTGTATTTTGAATTCGATCGATTTGGTTGTTTTTGAGATTTTTCCCCATTGATGGATTTTTGGTGATTTTATTGTGTTTGTGATGAAATTTGATGACATGAATTAGTTGGTATTAGTATAAAATGTTGGTGAGTAATTAGCCTGCTTACAATATGATTTTCGATGTGAAAAATATGAATTTCAGGAATTGGAACATAGGAGGATCGTACAAATGATTGCAGGAATTTTTCTCTGTTATTGCTGGATAACCGGTTACCCAAATTTTGTAACCAGTTACCATATTAAAAATTGAAGCCGGATTGGCTAGTGTCTTGCAGTAACCGATTACCATAAGTGGGTGACCGGTTACCGCGAGGAATTTTGAAAAGGAAAAGGTTATTGTCTTGCGGTAACCGGTTACCATGACTAGGTAACCGGTTACCACTGCTACTGACAACATTTTTGTAAAACTTCTAAAACTCGTAAATTTTGCCTCGGGTGTCCATTTGACACGCTGTTTGGACCGTTGGGAAGATAAATTAATTTCCTATCTTATAATAATGACTTATAATGCAGTAGCTAATTATTTCACCAATATTGATACCAATCCACAAGCGTGTTTGGTTTGTAAGCCATGAATTATGTTGTGGTTAATTGTGATGATTGTTTTGACTGCTTGACACGAGATACACGATGAGAACAATGACAAAGGCCTGTATTGGAGAATTTGTGATGAGTAATAATGATAAACGCGAAGTATGTTGTTGCATGATAGCGTCTCATGCATTCATAAAGCGAAGACATGTATTGGCGAGCGAAGTTAATTGTCCTAAAATGGAATTATTGTGAAAAGGGTTTTACCCTGTTGGTACCATATGCATTGAGTCTGTGTCGGTATTTTGCATCATATTATGTCTGATAATTCTATGGGTGAATAGTGATGAAAGTATGTTTTATGTTACGATACATATTATGTGTTGATTATGTACTTGAATTTTTACCTGCTCATTATTATGCTTTCTTTTATATTGATATGATATATCACCCTTTCTGTTTAAATGTTACCCCCACATGGGTAACATGCAGATGATCCAAAGTAGTTAGAGATTAAAGGTTAGCTGAGGAGTTCCTTCAGTTGCGTAGATTGAGTCGGTGTCTGCTCTGATACGTAACACTTGTGGGTTTTGTGCGATTTGTTTTGTTATGTTAGGAGTAAACATGTATTACTCCGTTGTTTGGATCATCTTATGGTTATGCTGACGTTTGAAAGATAATAGTTATTATTTCAATTTGGAAAATTGAGATGACATTGATGTTTTTCCGCTGCAAATAAATGCATTAAAGTTTAAAACTTATGAACATGCGATTTTTTGTTGTGTATCCTAATTTTGAGCATGTGTGATTGGCGAAGTACGTGACATCCTATTTGATTGATGTTTTTTTAGAAATTAATTTACTCTGATTTTATATAATTTACCAACGGGGAAATAGGGTGTTACAATTGGTATCAGAGCAGGTCAGTCTGTCCGACCAAGTTGTTGAGTATGTAGTGTGACAGTGGAATATTGTCGTTGTTTTGTTCCTTAGTACGCAACATGTGTGTGAAACACTGTTGGTAATTTCTTGTTGTTTTAATTACTTGTTTGCAGGAGTGGGATTGAAACAAGTGGGGGAGAAGCTCGTGCTTCTCTGAGATGGTTCATGTGTGAATAGTTGGTTTAGTATGTCGTGAAATGCACGGGTGCAGATGTTAGAGCTGATGTGTTGTTTTTCCAATTTTGAAGAAAGCACAGATTCAGAATTTAAGTCTAACGGTAAGATGAAGTGTTCTTAAGGGGGAATGATCAGGTACTCGTGTTGTTCGCATCTCTAGAAGTGGAGGGCGATGTTATGACTAATGATGTGCCCGTTGTGGGTGAGTATTGATGTTTCCCGGAGGATGATTGCGACTTGTTGTTAGAGAGAAATGTTAGATTAACTTGATGTTAGCCTTGGTGTGAACTATCTGGAATTAAACCATGAGATTAAAAAGTGTTTTGGCAAGTCGATGTAGATTTTCATTCCTGAAGGTTGTACAAATTCAAGGCTCTTATTTGTTGGTCAAGTAGAGTAGCCTCCGTAGGAAAAAGAGAATTGTTAAAGGTTGCTTCTCAGAGGATATAAAGCAATGTGACGACTAGTGATATACAAGAGGTGTGTAATTTCTTGATGATCCCCTGAGGGCATTAGCTAAGTAAGTAGGATAGCTCTTGGAAGATGAAGCTCAGATGATTGTGATGTTTTAGAAAATGTTGGTGATCGTGAAGCCGTCATTGTTGAGTTACCATTATGTATGATGTTGATATTTTGAATGGTGATAGAGTGATAAAATTAAGGCGATGTTGGTGTTAGAATTGTGGTATATATTATGTGTCGATGATTACATGAATTGATATGTTTTGGTATGTTTACAAAAACTAATTCTTGGTGAAAAAGATTGGAATCCCGTAGCAGAAAAAAAGAGGTTTGGGGCTCTGCTGTCATAGGTAACCGGTTACCATTGTAGGGAAACTGATTACCGCATTCAAAAATGTGTGGCAGAGGAAAGAAAAGGGGAAGTAACCAATTACTATTATGGGGCAACCGGTTACCGCTGAAGCTGACATAATTTGTAGTAATTCTTGAAAAATTCATAACTCGAGTTCTGGGCGTCTGATTCGAGTTCCGTTCGAAGCGTTAGAAAGCTAACGCAATGAAATTTGTTTTAAAAATGGTTTCAACAACTGTAAATGATTTATTTTTCACGTGGTGATGTGGAATGGGATGTGAATTTTTACTTTTGATCTTGTCTTCTGCATCCGGATTATTTCTATGGCACCATACAGGATGTCAATTCAAAAGCTGGGAGAATTGGAGAAGTTATTAGAAGATGTATAGAGAAATAGATTTGTAAAACCGAATGTATCATTTTGGGAGCTTTGATGTCATTATTTAAGGAAAAAGAAAGAAGTATGAAACTGTATGTGGATTACCGATAACTGATTAAAATAGTGGTTGAGGTTACATATCTACTTCAGATGATTGATGACTGGATAGACCAACTGGTAGGCGAGTATGTTCTCAGTATAATTGAATTGGGATCAGATTATCTTCAGATACAAATGAAGAGTGATGATAGTTAGAGGACAACTTTTAGAAATCGGTGAAGTTATTTTGAATAATTAGATCAGTTTGTTGCGGTGTTTATTTAGGACATTTTGATTTAGTCCGAGTCATAAAAGGAGACGTTGAATGTTGTGATTCGAACTACGGTGTCAGAAGGGAAGAAAATGTATGTTATGATGCCAAGACGTAGATCATGATTTGGAAAGGTAAATTTTCTTGAACATGCTATTTCGAATTAAGATATATGTGGAATCCATTCAAAGTAAATAGAGGTCTATATTGAGAGGCTCTGAAATTGGTTATGGAAACTAGAAGCTTTTCAGGATTAACTGGTTATTATCGCAGTGTGCTTGAGATGAGGTCAAGTGAGATATGTTGTTAGTGAATGAGTTAAGGGAATGAGATGTTTGACATTAGTAAGGATGTGAATGTATTAGGTAAGTGCACGAAGATGCAACTTAAGCCGATTAACGATGATTAGAATGACGACAATTTTTGAGGAGAAGAGAAGTAATGCTAGAGGAGAGATAAATTAAAGAAGGATTGAAATCATGGATATGACGGAAAAGTATATACATGAGTTAGGGAGAAATTGGGGAGTGCTATCACCAACCATATGAAGGAATGGTAATATTGAGATTGTGATTAGAATGAGATCCAAATGCAAGATTAAAGGAAAGAGTAATGATTCATTGATGTGGTCAAAATCTTCTAACTAGATAAAGACTTATTTTGGAATGATACGATTTGGATTATACTTGGTGTAGTAGTTTTCCTATATTAGAATATACTTAGCAATTGTGTTGTGTTGCATGCGCATAAGGGAGACTATGAAATGGAATTTTTGCGTTTATGTATCATTGACGAGGTAGAAATGAAGGAAATTAAGAAAAACATTGTAATCCTTGGAGAGATCATTGGATATTATGCTCAGGTAACCTTGAGCACAAGGTGAAAGGCGCTATTATAGTTGGGTAACGACGATTTATGCCACCGTTATGGTTGTCGTCTACCTATTGACAAATTGAGGAACTGATCACCCTTAATCCCTTATTGATAATAGACGGGGTCTTAATGGATGGGATATACGTGTCTTACTAGCTTGATAGTGTGTAAAGTGATTGGTGTTTTATTAAGAGGATAATTGTTCGCCATTTTGTGTGAACCTAATGCAAAAAGTGGATATGAAAGAGTTGGGATGTATTAAGCAATTTAAAGACTTGAGTTGGTATGCGAGCTAACGCCGCAGAGTAGACGGTTGAGAATGTCAAAAAGTGAACAGTGATTTTATGGTGGTTACTAAGGAGAGTATGAAGATAGATGTGAAATTTGTAGATCTGATGGTTGATGAAAATCAAAATAAAGACATTGACTTAAGATAGATAGTTAGAGTAGCACAGTGGAATTGTAGTGTGGCGCAGCTTGTTATGCGGGTATGACTTGGGAGTTAAAGATTGAACATTAGAAGTTGTGGGATAATGCAAACTATTAGACATTCCATGATGGAATTGTTAAGTGAAAGGTTACCTATATTATCCGTGTTATCACCATGTCAATAGATGTATTGAATTGCATAATCGATTTTTTTGTTGGGATATAGCATGGTGGCACTAAGGTTGTGTTGATGTTCTTAGGACGATATTATTGTGTGATGTAATTGTTAGAACATAGTTTGATTCTACAAATCTTATAAGAGTTTTGATGATAACAAACACAAAGAACAAATATGCACTCTAAATTTGTGTTGTATGTTGTACAGAAGTTCTGACTGAAACAGAATCAGAAGTTAAGCCATAGTAGCTTTCAAACTGAGCAATCCGAATATTCTGAAGAATGATGATTAGAATCTGCACAAAAGTAAAATATATTCTGACTCTGAACAGAAGTCTAACGCGCCAACAAATCCTCATGTCTCTGAGTTATCAAAGTTCTGAAGTAAAGCAACATGCAAGATTCCCAAGTTCTGAAGCGTTATTTTTTCATTAAGACAATATCATTTGCAACGACTTCATTCAGACAAGAATCTTCTCTGTATGGAAAATGCATTAAGTGTCCATTATCACGTTTCAATTTGGACAGATTTCCACGCCTATATAAACAAGCTCAAATGGTAAATCGTTAACAATTTTTACTAACGACTGCTCATACATCTCAAAAAGCTGCAAATATTCATATTCATTTATATACTCAAATTGTGTAATACATCATAGTAGTGATACAGTTTTTGTAATGAAAAACAAATAGTACACAATTAATTGTTCTTTGATTAAGATATTGCTCTTTGAGATAAACCGGGTTGTGGTCATACTCAAGAAGACTTTGGCAGTTGTCAAAGTAGATTTGTAATCTGTTTGATTAGTGGATTAAGTCCTCGTTGGAGAGAGGCGAAATCACCTTGGCAGATGGACTGGAGTAGTTTGAGATCAAGCGAACCAGGATAAAAATCTAAAGTCTATTACATTTGATTTTTAAGTTTCAATTCAACCCCCTCTTCTTGTGTTTTTCACTTCTTCAGTAATAATATAGATGGTTTTCATGTCATGAGACTCTGCGTCCTTAATCTATGTTATTGTGTCGTTTCCTATGGCAAGGACTCGAGGGTGAGCATGTTTTTCCTTATGAAGATAAATTAGATAAGCGTTACTTATAGTGACTGAAGAGACCTCGTTATGTCCCAGTTCAAGCACGAACAATATCGTAAAGTAATAGATCTTGTATCACAGGGTGATGGGACAAGGGAAAAAATGGTAGTAATGCATCTTGTTGGACTATTGTAGTTGATGATATATAATGTTGGATAGTAGTATTAGAAAGGTTTCCAAACATGACATTGGAGCTGCAGGGTGGGATGCGAGAGTCGCATCTGGAGTTGTTCGGAATAGGTAATTTTCTAGGACGAAAATATTCTAAGTGAGAGAGAGTTGTAACACCCTGATTTAATTAGAATTATTTTTAATTAAATAATAAGATGATGCAGTGAAATTATATGAGTTGATGGATTTTATGATGTGGTGTGATGCCTTGTTGGAGACTAAATGCCTTAGAATTATAGAAGTTGAGGTTATCGGGGTGTTTGGCTAAATATGTAGAAACATATGTGTGTGTGGAATGATATAGATTATTATTATTATTACTATATTATTAGAATAATAATAATTATTTTATAGTAATAATTAAATAGTTATTATTGAGTTAGTTATATTATTATTAGACTATATTAGAGTGAGAAGAAGGAAAATAGAGTCAGTACGTGAAATAGAACAAAAACATAGAAGGTAGAAGAAGAGAGAAGCACTAAGAAGTTAGAACAAGGATTCCACCGTAGAAATCAAGAATCAACCAAAACTTTAAGGTAAGGGGGGATTCTAACTCTATAAAAGGTTGTCTAATGATGAGGTATGATAGGATTTAGGTTGCTTGATTTTGTGTATTTTGAATTCTATCGATTTGGTTGTTTTTGGGTTTTTCCTCATTGATGGATTTTTGGTGATTTTGTTGTGTTTGTGATGAAATTTAATGACATGAATTGGTTGGTATTAGTATACAATGTTGATGAGTAATTAGCCTGCTTATAATATGATTTTTGATGTGAAAACTATGAAATTTGGGGATTGGAACATGGGAGGATCGTACAAAGGATTGCAGGAATTTTCCTCTGTTATCGCTGGATAACCGGTTACCCAAATCTGGTAACCGATTACCATATTAAAAATTGACACCAGATTGGCTAGTGTCTTGCAGTAATCGATTTCCATAAGTGGGTGATCGGTTACCGCGAGGAATTTTGAAAAGGAAAATATTACTGTCTTGCGGTAACCGGTTACTATGACTGGGTAACCGATTACCTCTGCTACTGACAATATTTTTGTAAAACTTCTAAAACTCGTAACTTTTGCATCAGTTGTCTGTTTGACACGCCGTTTGGACCGTTGAGAAGATAAAATAATTTCTTATATTATAAAAATGACTTATTATGCAGTAGCTAATTATTTCACCGACATTGATACTAATCCGCGAGTGTGTTTGGTTTGTAAGCCATGGATTATGTTGTGGTTAATTGTGATGATTTTTTTGACTGCTTGACATGAGATACACGATGGAAACGATGATGAAAGCCTGTATTGGTGAAATTATGATGAGTAATAACGATAAACATGAAGTATGTTGTTCCATGGTAGCGTCTCATGCATTCATAAAGCGAAGGCCTGTATTGGCGAGCAAAGGCCTGTATTGGTGAGCGAAGTTGATTACCCTAAAATGACATTATTGCGAAAAGGGTTTTACCCTGTTGGTACCACATGCATTGAGTCTGTGTCGGTCTTTTGCATCATATTGTGTCTGATAATTCGATGGGTGAATAGTGATGAAAGTATGTTTTATGTTACGATACATGTTATGTGCTGACTATGTACTTGAATCTTTACCTGCTCATTATTATGCTTTCTTTTATATTGATATGATATCTCTTTTGTTTGAATGTTACCCCCACGTGGGTAACATGCAGATGATTCAAAGTAGCTAGAAATCGAAGGTTAGCTGAAGAGTTCCTTCAGTTGCATAGATTAAGTCGGTGTCTGCTCTGATATATAACACTTGTGGGTTTTGTGCGATTTGTTTTGTTATGTTATGAGTAAACATGTATTACTCCGTTGTTTGGATCATCTTATGATTATGCTGACGTTTGAAAGATAATAATTATTGTTTCGATTTGGAAAATTGAAATGACTATTTATTGATATTTTTCCGCTGCGAATAAATGTATTGAAGTTTTAGACTCATGAACATGCAATTTTGTGTTGTGTATCCTAATTTTGAACATGTGTGATTGACGAAGTATGTGACATCCTATTTGATTGATGTTTATTTAGAAATTAATTTACTCTGATTTTATATAATTTACCGACGGAGAAATATGGTGTTACAGTAACTGCATATTGTAACGTACAGATCGAATAAAAGTAATGAAAAATATTTGGATTATGATGAACCTCATGAATTAGACATGGGGACGATGCTAATGGAGGATTGAGAAGGCGAAAAAAATTGAAGACCAATTTGATATTCTATAATTGCCATGTTGTGGATAAATTGGAAGAGGAGAACAAAAAGAATATGAAGCTTTTAGAACAAAAGATTTGCTGAGTCCTCGTGAAGTCACATATGGATTTTTCGAAGAGAAGAGTCGATTTTCTTATATCATAGATTAATTATCATATATTTACTATATCTTATCTATATGTTGATTTTTTTAAATATATTTTGTAATTTTTGTTGATTATAGTAAATGTTTATTTTAATATTTTTTATCATATCTAATTTTTATTTAACAACATTTATAGTTTTTTCAATTAAATAATTACTTATCATCGTTAAAAAATAAAATATTTAACTGAAACTCTTTCCATTAAGTGTATATATATCCATTAAAGTTTTATTTTATGAGTAGATATATTTGTTTCCACCCACGTAACAATCTAGGACTTGACCAATAGAAACCCTCGTCTGTTAAACCTCCGACATCAAACACCAAACCTTGTTCCACCGCCGTCTGCTAAACCTTTGCGATCCAGCACCAAGTTCCACCGCCGTCAAACCATGGGTTTCTTCGACCTCAACATCCCCTACCCAGAAACCTCCACCAAATCCGAAAAATCCACCGTCGAAAACAACCGAACAAGACTCGCTGTGAAAGCCATGGAGCTAGGTTACACAGGCATAGCTTACAACCGCACAATGAAAGGCGTAATGTCCGATAAACACCGTTGCTCCATCTCCCCACTCTCCCTCACAACTCTCCTCAACATCGTTCCCTTTCTCTCCTCCTCCGCCAAGCTTCACCGTGACCTCCTCGGTGTTCAATCTTCCACTCCGTTTCGGCAGTACACGCGCCTAACGGTTTGTGTTGAGAATCCATTGCAGGGTAATGCACTTAATGATGGGAATCCTATTTTGAAGAGTTATGATTTGGTTGCTGTTAAGCCGTTGAATCAGACTGCTTTCGATATTGCCTGCGAGAGAATGGCGGTTAGTAATGTGGATTATAGGGTTTTGTTTGAACATTTAATCATGATCAAAAGTTTATTTATGTGAAAATTGATTAATGTTGTTGCAGGTGGATATTATTTCGATTGATTTTTCGGCTAAGTTGCCATTTAGGTTGAAGCAGTCTATGGTTAAAATGGCTACGCAGCGTGGTGTTGTTTTTGAAGTTTCATATTCTGGTCTTATTGCTGATGTACAGTTAAGGAGACAGTTGATTTCCGGCTCCAAGGTAATAGCTGCTTCTCTATATAAGTTTATAATCAAATGAATTCACATTGAAGATGTTTATTCCTTGAGTTTTTTACTTTACAAATCTCGTGATTAAGCTATTTCATACACATGCATACTTATATTTAGTTCCACCTGAGCAACGCGCGTGTTATTATCTGGTTATTAAGACATTTACAATCTTTTGCATTCTGATTAAACATGTAGCTGTTGATTGACTGGACTCGGGGACGAGACATTGTATTTTCAAGTGCTGCTCCTTCGGTGAATGAACTTAGAGGGCCTTGTGATGTTGCAAACTTGTTGTTATTATTTGGGCTCTCCAAGGAGCAAGCCAAAGCATCTATATCTAACAATTGTAGGTAATAATTTGCTCACATCCTTTATAATGTTCGGTTCTATTCTATGGACTGGTGTATAACATGTTATGGATATCATTTTGAATGGCTTGCAGGGTTCTTTTAGCCAATGCTCTAAGGAGAAAGCGATTTCACAAAGAGGCAATAAGAGTAGAGGTTTTATCATCCAACTCTCAATCTAAGGAAGCTCGACATCAAGAGTTACTAAAGTGGGACCCTCTCTCCAGCGGCGAAGGTGATATCTTGTTGGATGACATGGAAAATTCTCGTTCAATCTCCTCTAAAGCGCCCAAGACTACAAAAGCCATTGACTTTGTTTCAGTACTAGACAGCCTTCCGTCTCAAGGTTATCAAGTCCAGAATTTCATACCTGCAAATGACACTTTCTCGCTCTTCTCAATTAATATGGTAAACTCCGTGTCCGTTGCCGAAAACGTAAATCGGTCAACACATGTACCTAACAACATAACTGAACAGCCCAATAGGCCTGATGTTTGTCCCAAGCAAGACCAAAGCTCATCATTGAATGATATAACAAAACATCACATTGTGAGATGTGGCAATATTTTTGAGAAAAATATACCCAGCGGAACTACTGAAGCTTTTCATTCTGAAGTGATAGAGACCGAGACAAACGGCGCGAAGTTGGAACTACAAAATTCTATTGATTCAGATGTACAGATGGATGACATGGAAAAATCATTCATAACCCCTTGTAAGGCATCAACCATAGCAAAAGCAACCGTGGACAGCTATAATGATGGAAATTTACTTCCAGTTGCTGAAAATGTTGATCAGTCAAAACCTGTACCTAACAACTCAACTGAGCAGCCCGACAGGCTCGAGGTTTCTCCTGAACAAGATGAAAGGTCATTGTTTGATACTGTAAAAACACATCATGATGTAGGCTGTGACGATGTTTTTGAGAAAAATATACATAACAGAACTATTGAAGTTTTCAATACCAAGGTAGAGATTGACACTCAGACAAATGGCACCCCATTTGAAGCAAAAGCACGTGTTTCACAGTCAGACTTGTGCATCTCAAGTAATTTGCTGGATACTGTAAAACCACAGGAGAATGAGAAACTCATCATATCTTCAGATGATCCTAACAATATTGACGAGAAATTAGAAGTTCTTACTCCATCCGTAGGAATCATTTTTCCGGCTCCAGAACATGAAAAAGACAAAGAAAATAACACTGATGTCAATTTCAATGCACATTTTGCAACAATGCTTGAAAATTTGCCAAAGGAAGATTTTAAAACTTCAGAGCATGCAGTTCTGGATATGAACAGATCTACTTCCGAAACACCAGTGGAGTATAAACAATTTAACAAACGGGAGACTGATTCCGTTGAAGTTGATGAAATGCCACACCAAACACCTTCTGATAAAATGAATACTGAAGATGATTCCACAGTTGCAATACATTCATCGCCAGAAGCTATGATGGAAGATACAAAGTTTGGTGAAGTGAACACTTATTCTGATCAATTAGCCTCTGTTCGGTCTGTTTCAGGTTTGCCACCTATACACTAATATCTTCATCTCGTTTTTGAAAGCTGTTTCCACATAGTTTTAATAGTTTCAATCCCTTCCATCGCAATAATTAACAGATAGGTTCGATAACTTGATTGCACTTTACTTCACAATTCCCCTATAGAAGCATGTTATCTACGTCCATTTTAGTATTTTAACATCTACTTTGCATTATATCCAGGTCGAGTGCGAGTGAAACGAAGGACACCTCCACTTTTATTTCCCTTGAGGCGATTGTTGAATACAGTGCCTTTTAAGAAGAGATGTAAAAAGCTCAAGAGGAGAACTAATCCAGAATAAGTAGTTTTTCTTTCGAGGTGATTATCGTTACTTGTATAGCCGTGAGCTTATTGTACTTCATCACGTCTAATTTTTTTATACGGGTTTTCTTCAACCCTGAAAACTCACTCGACGAATAGAGATTTAGTTTTCCAGTCCTAAATTAGTGAAACACACTCAAACACAGCGACTAAAAGCTATCTGTCTTGGATGGTAGCAGCAGAATAGTTGATAGCAGGATGACCAAATATCTTTATATGTTGAATAATTTATCTTTCAGATTTTTCTTAGCTAAAGTGTATCTTATTGAGAAGTTCTATTATTTTTAAATGAAATGATAACTTATGATTGAATTTGTAAAAGTACATCAATATAATTCTGCTGGTAGTAAAGTCGAAATACGTAGTGAATTGTGAATGAATCTTTTCCTTTGCGCTCTCCTTATATAGCAATTTTGACTTGCCATACACGAAGCTTCATTAGAGGCAATTTAATATGATTGGTATTTGTGGTGTTCAAAATTGAACCAACCCAATAGAAAACTGCAAATCAAACCTAATCAAATCGAAACCGCAAAAGATTACATTTGGCTCAGATGTGTTTGAGTCATCTTTTAATAAAATTGCACAGTTCAGTTTGAGGCTTGTATTTTGAGAATTGAATCAAACCGCATTATGTTACAACCTAAATTTTACTTAACTCATATTCAACCTAAGTCTAAACCTATCATACCTCAGTCTTATGGTTGCGGATAATTTTTTCATCATTGTACTTATGGTTTCAGTTTCAGTCTTTTCAAATATCTCTTAACATTATCGCGTTTTCTTCGCCACATACATCTTGCCTCTTTTTATCTAATATCTACTATCTTATATTCTTTCATTTTCATCTTATTTTTATGCAAATGTTCTCTCTTTCAGTTCTGTTTTTATCACACATCTTCTTCTCTAATATGTATTCTTTTATGTTTTTTCATCTTGATTAATCTCTCATCTCTTCTATTTTTTTGTTTCATTATAATATTTTTGATATTGTTTTATACTATTATTTTATGTTCATTATTCAAATTTTGTCTAATATAATTTTCACATATTAAATGAGAAGTTGTTGTCTAAATATAATGAGTTTTGTTGTTATTTGATAGTGTATGAATGACTAAATATAAAGTTACGTTGCTATATATATATATATATATATATATATATATATATATATATATATATATATATATATATATATATATATATATATATATATATATATATATATATATATATATATATATATATATATATATATATATATATATATATATATATATATATTTCAACAAAATATTTGCAAAAAATCCAATTGAACCAAATCATATTGGTTTGGTTTGGTTTTTTTTCTAAATGTTAATCAAACTAAATCAAACTGTACGTTTTTTTATCTTACAGTTCGGGTGATTTTTAGCGTCTGAATCACCCAAACCGCACCGCAAACACTTTTAATTGGTATGAACTCATCATAGTGATTGAGAATCAAACTTGATTTTCTCAAATCCTTGACTGTGACACACTTCCATTAGTCATAAATGTGTCACAATCATATCTCTCTAGCCTATTAGCTATTCAGCCTAACCACACATTTTTGGGTGGACCTTTTAATTGGGGTGAACTCTATTGGGTTTGGGTTTGTTCTTGTCCGCTTTAGAGTGCAACTCAAAAAATTAGACTTGTACATAATTTCTCGAGTATAAACCCTATAAGAGTGAAATGCTTTTCTAAGTCCGACTAAAAAACACAGGCTCTTAAATGAGCCGTGTTCAAATATGAGCCATATAAGAGCGAAGTTGTTTCCTAAGTCCAACCAAGAAATTAACATGTCTAGAGTGATTCAAGTATAAATCGTATAAGGGTCATTCAAGCATAAGGGTAGAAAATCACTCAAGCATAAAATGTGTAAGGGCAAAGACCGAAGTGATTTTCTAAGTCCTAACAAGAAATCGGACATGGGCAAATGACATTAAAAGTAGGGTCATACTTTTAAAATCATAAAGAATCATTTAAATTGCTTGAGAAAAACTAGTGGATCAAAATAACATATAGATCAAGTTACAAGATAGGTAGGAACTAGAAAGTTTCCAACGAATGGTTCTTCAGCCTAGGCCATAGTGCACAAACAAACAACCCGATATTGCTTGCCATGTGCTGTTAATATATATTTTTTGTTTTACTATATTATATAACTTTGTTCTTCTGCAAGACTTGTGTGTTAAGGATGTTGAATAAGTTTTGGTTTGGAATGGCCCCCCCCACATGATCTTTTTACTTAATCAACTCGAGTCATCATCACAGTCAAGTCTTTTACAACATTCTAGCTCATTATAATGACTTCCATCATCTGTATATCTTGTGCACTAACCATTTATGTCGTGTTTGATTTGATTAGTGGAGGATAAAGATTTTATTCGAGAAGTGTACAATTATGTTTTTCAGCATTGCTATGTTTTCCAAATGCCTAACTTTTAAATAAATGTCATCTCTAGTGTTTAAATCTCCAACTTTTGCTTTATAGTGCAACATTAGTGTAGAAAATATGGATTGGTAAAAATCATTGATCAAACCACTTTGAAAATGGACTTGGGCATAAGAAAAGGGATGATCAAAATGATAATTCTCATGTACTCCAACATTTGGATACACTAACTTCCATATCAAAACATTTGGAGTGTTGATTGCAACATACACCAAAAAATCAAAATAAAAGAAAAAAACAGTAAGAATAATTAGATTTCACTTTGGATTATTAAAAACCTCCCATTAACCTAGTGGCTAACACACCGCCGGCAGAGAAAGGTAAATAGGGCCAACCTCCCCCACCTTAGGATCTTACCTTGAAAGGTAGAAGCTATAGCTTTTACAAAATCATGAATTCAAAAATATAGTAATATTTGTTTGGTTTATATGGCCGGTCCTCCTCTAAGTAATGATTAGTAATAGGTAGAAAACTAGCTAATTGAGTTTAAATTAATTAGTGTTGAAATAAACATTAAATGTGTTTGAAATAAATGATTTGTATTAAGTATGGTAGTAGGAAAGACAATAGTTTTAGTAGTTATGATAGTAGCAGTTATGTTTTTAATTTTATGTTTTAGAATTGCAAGAGTTTGTTTGGGTCTATAAAAGACCAAGTATGTAATTTATTTAAAAAGAGCAATATACAAGAAGTTAAAAGTATACAGAAGTCTGATTCATATTCTAACAATTTGGCATCAGAGCTCATGGCGAACATGATGAACCAAATGCCGTTACCACGGTTGACGAAGTCAAACTATGAAAACTGGAGTATCCAAATGAAAGTTCTTCTTGGATCTCTAGATGCGTGGGAAGTGACCAATGATGGGTTTGAAGAACCAACAGAAATTAGGGGATTTACAGCAGCCCAAACGAAGGCGTTGAAAGAGACGCGAGCGAAGGACAAAACAACACTATATATGTTGTTCAGGACTGTGGATGAATCAGGTTTCGAGAAGATTGCTAGTTCGACTACGTCGAAACAAGCGTGGGACACGTTAGAGAAGGTGTTCAAAGGAGCAGACAGAGTGAAGCAGGTTCGACTCCAAACGCTTCGTGGCAAATTGGAGAGGATACAAATGAAGGATACAGAAAATGTATCAGATTACATCACTCGTATGCAGAAAGTGGTGAATCAACTCACAAGAAATGGAGAGACAGTAGCTGATGCAAGAGTTGTTGAAAAGATCTTAAGATCTTTAACAGACAAGTTTGAAAATCTGGTGTGTGCAATAGAAGAATCGAAGGACCTTTCGACGCTCTCAATCGAAGAGCTCACTGGTTCGCTCGAAGCACATGAACAAAGAAAGATGAAGAATAAAGAAGAGGCAGAAGAAGAAGCAAACCAAATAAAAGAATCGAAAGATGAAAAAGTACTCTTTTCGAACAATTTTCGAGGAAGAGGACGTGGACGTGGAGGACGTAACAGTGGTCGAAGTGGTAGAGGCAGTAACTTCGAAAGAGGAAATTTGAGCCAACAAAACTGGCGTGGCAGAGGACGTGGCCAAAGAGGTGGTCGTTCGAATTATTCAAATTTCGAATGCTACAAGTGTGGCAAGTATGGCCATTACGCGAAGGATTGCAACTCCTACAAATGTTACAACTGTGACAAAGTGGGACATCTTGCAAAAGACTGTCGAAATGAAAAGAAGACTGAAGAGACAACCAATCTGGTTTTGGAAGCTGAATCGAATGAAGGGTTTCTCCTGATGGCCCAAAATGAAATCAACACCAATGACAGTATTTGGTATCTTGACTCAGGAGCAAGTAATCACATGTGTGGTTACAAACACCTGTTTAAAGATATGAAGGGAGTTGAAGATGGCAGCGTGTCTTTTGGAGATGCATCGAAGGTGAAAGTTGAAGGAAAGGGCACAATCAGCTATTTGCAGAAGGATGGCTTGATTGGGTCAATCGAAGATGTCTACTATGTACCAGACCTTAAGACCAACATATTAAGTCTGGGACAACTCACAGAAAAAGGTGCTTCGATCTTGATGAAAGATCGAACACTGCAGTTGAAAGACAAAGCAGGATATCTGATTGCTGCTGTCGAAATGGAGAGAAATCGAATGTACAAACTTAACTTGAGGAACATTAGAGAGAAATGTCTGCAGATTGAAGTGCAAGACAAAGCGTCATTGTGGCACATGCGCTTTGGTCACCTACATCATGCTGGTCTGAGAAGGTTGGCGAAGAGGAACATGGTGCATGGATTACCAGACATGGAGTTCGAAGGAAAATTCTGTGAAGAATGTGTGCTCAGCAAACAAACCAGAACCTCATTTCAGAAGAAGACAGAGTATCAAGCCAAACAGATATTCGAATTGATACATACTGATATATGTGGGCCAATTACTCCAGAATCCTTCAGTGGAAAAAGATACTTCATTTCCTTCATTGATGACTACTCAAGAAAAACCTGGGTCTATTTTCTGAAAGAAAAATCTGAAGCACTAGAAGTGTTCAAGAAATTCAAAGTAATGGTGGAAAAGGCAACAGAAAGAAACATCAAATCAATTCAATCAGACAGAGGAGGAGAGTATACTTCGATTGCCTTTGTGAAGTACTGTGAAGAACATGGCATAAGAAGATTCCTAACAGCGCCATATTCACCTCAGCAAAATGGTGTGGCTGAAAGGAAGAATCGAACTATCTTTGACATGGTTCGATCAATGCTTAAAAGCAAGAGTATGCTGAAAGAGTTCTGGGCAGAAGCAGTACAATGTGCTGTTTACATTCAGAATAGGTGTCCATATTCGAAGCTGGAAGACAAAACACCACAAGAAGCATGGAGTGGACAAGCCAACAATCTCTCATCTAAAAGTTTTTGGTAGCATAGCTTATACACATGTACCAGACCAACGAAGAACAAAGCTTGAAGACAAAAGTCAGAAGTTCATATTCATTGGATATGATGAAAAGACGAAAGGGTACAAGCTTTTTAATCTCATAAGTAAGAAAGTGATTGTAAGCAGAGACGTTCGAATGAATGAAGCCAGCAAGTGGGACTGGAACAGTTCGACAGAGGCTGTTGATACAGTCGAAGAAACAACTATAGCTGTACCAACAAACACTCCAGAAGAACATGAAGAAACAGAAGATAAAGATGAACCTCTACAACCCAGAATGAGAAGTTTGCAAGATCTGTATGATTCAACAAGTGAGGTGCATCTTGTGTGTCTTCTGGAAGATGCTGAAAACATAAGTGTTGAAGAAGCGTTAAGAGATGAGAAGTGGAAAAGCTCCATGGACGAAGAAATTAAAGCAATCGAACACAATAAAACTCGGGAGCTGGTCGAATTACCAAAAGGAAGTCAACCCATTGGTGTAAAGTGGGTATTTAAGAAAAAGATGAACGCTCAAGGAGAGATCGAAAGATACAAGGCACGGCTGGTTGCAAAGGGATACAAGCAGAAAGCTGGCATTGACTATGACGAAGTGTTCGCGCCTGTTGCAAGAATGGAGACAATTCGATTACTCATCTCTCAAGCTGCTCAGTTCAAATGGAAAATATTTCAAATGGATGTCAAGACAACATTTTTGAATGGTGTGCTCGAAGAAGAAATCTATGTCGAACAACCACTTGGATACATGAGAACTGGAGAAGAGAAGAAGGTGCTGAAACTGAAGAAATCATTGTATGGGCTGAAGCAAGCACCTAGGGCATGGAACACACACATTGACACATATTTTAAGGAGAGTGGATTTGAGCAATGCCCTTATGAACCAGCCCTCTATGTGAAGAAAAATGGAGGTGATTTATTACTTGTAGCTCTGTACGTTGATGATCTTATTTTTCTAGGCAATAATGTTAAGATGATCGAAAACTTCAAAAACACCATGACAAGAGAATTCGAAATGACAGACTTAGGTCTGATGAGATTTTTCCTTGGTCTGGAGGTTCGACAGGAAGAAGCTGGGATTTTCATATCACAAGAAAAGTATGCAAAGGAAATCCTAGAAAAATATAAGATGAAGAATTGCAATCCAACTTCTACGCCAATGGAGCCAGGTACAAAGCTGTCGAAGTTTGATGGAGGAGAACGGGTCGAAGGAAGAAAATATCGAAGCTTGGTAGGCAGCCTTCGATATCTCACATGCATAAGGCCAGATATTTCACTAAGTGTTGGCATAGTGAGCAGATTCATGGAGGAGCCAGTTCACACACACTGGAAAGCGCTGAAACGAATTCTGAGATACATTCAAGGAACAGTATCACTTGGGATGTTTTATTCAAAGACTGAAGACTACAAGCTAGTTGGATATTCTGACAGTGACTGGTGTGGAGACATTGATGATCGAAAGAGCACTGCAGGATATGTGTTTTTCATGGGAAACACAACTTTTACATGGCTATCGAAGAAGCAGCCTATAGTGACACTTTCAACGTGTGAAGCAGAATATGTGGCAGCATCCTGGTGCGTCTGTCATGCAGTATGACTTAGAAGGTTGATAAGCAAGATGGAGCTGAAACAGGAAGGTCCAACAATAATACAAGTGGACAACAAATCAGCTATTGAATTGGCAAAGAACCCAGTCAATCATGAACGAAGCAAGCATATAGACGTTCGATTTCACTTCATACGTGAACATGTGAAAGAGAGAAGCGTGGAACTAAGGCATGTAGCAAGCATAAACCAAGCAGCAGATATCTTCACAAAACCACTATCAAAGAAAGTATTCGAAAGAGGCAGAAAGATGATTGGGATGCTTGATCGAAGAAGCATTTAATGTTTAAAGAGGAGTTTTGTTGAAATAAACATTAAATGTGTTTGAAATAAATGATTTGTATTAAGTATGGTAGTAGGAAAGACAATAGTTTTAGTAGTTATGATAGTAGCAGTTATGTTTTTAATTTTATGTTTTAGAATTGCAAGAGTTTGTTTGGGTCTATAAAAGACCAAATATGTAATTTATTTAAAAAGAGCAATATACAAGAAGTTAAAAGTATAAAATAAAAGGAGTCTAATTGGTGGTAATGGCATTTTAAATATGTAAAACAATTGCGATTTTTCAGAAGTAGATTTTCCTTATAGTGTTATGCTTTCAACCTGTTGTCATAGTCTTTCATACTTCAGTCCTTTTCAGAGCATTAGAGGATAGCACCCTACTATATACTGTTTTATCTCCATATCCCAATATGCTAGACACAAGCCAAAGTTGACATTACCTCTCTTCATTTCGTATGTGCATTTGGTATAGGCAATGTTTGAGTGTTTGCACTTTCTACTTACATTAATCACAATTTAATCATAAATAGAGGGTTTTATTTAAACATAATTCAATAATACATATACATTGATACTACTCATATATACATAGAGATAAATATATTTACATTAGTACCTAATTTGGTCTAATCTAAAAGTGCACCACAATAATTCTTTGAAAAAAAAAAGAAATAATCAACAAACTAATAATTATTCTAGTATAATAGGCCAAATGATGAACTTCCTTGAAACTCATCATGAACAAGATTTGCAGCAACTATGGAATCAAAGACATGAATCCAATTCTCATCTTCTTCATCTTCTTCCTCTCCACCACCAATGTGACTCCACTGAACAGCACTAGTGCTCTTATCGATTTCATCGTTCCTCGCAAACCGTCCTCTAATTCGCGGCCTCCTATCTGCCAATGTCTTCCTACAAACATACTGATTCATATAACAAAGTTAATCAATATAAGTATTATCATTCGTAGATCGAAAAAAATAATAGTTTGTTCAAATTCCGCTAGTAATTTATTTTTTCACCTAAGATAAAAAAATTAGTATTTTTTTCTTAGTACATTTTTGTCCATTACTTGTTGTTCTTTTTATATTCTTGTAAATGCTCACTTTTTCATTTTCCCTATTGTAAAAGGACAAGTTATTACTGTCACATTTTGATGAAGTACATATTTTAGTGTATGAAAGTTTTTGTGAAATGAAATAGTAAATATAAGAAAATTGAACCTTAATTTTCTTGTTGAAGTTTCTTTGATTCCTCTTTCTTTTGTATCTTTCAATTCTGAGTTTCTTCTCTTCCGGACTATAGGGACAAACTCTGTTCATACCTTCTATGATCATACTACTTTCACTAGACAATGGACTATCCAAATGATGATAATGATGATTATGTTGCATTCTCTTAATCCTCTGCAAATCATTACATGCAAGTTTGAATTAACTTATTCGAGTTTATCTGCTATAAAAATAATTTATAGGTTATACATAAACTTATATATAAATAAAAATAGTTATATGATAAACGCTAATGCTATAAACTACTCCGAGGAGTAGTATAGTGTACCTGGAGATCTCCCGTGCTATAAATTTTTCGCACGGGAGTGTCTTCAGAGTCGAGCAATTCAGCGAAAAAAGCGGAGAGGGGATAACGGTGGGTCCCATTGTTGTGGTGAAGGGAATGGCTGCTAATGCTTCTTTGCATGAAGATGGGAGTATTTGGTGAAGGTGATCCAGCATAGCTGCTATAGCAGCTACTAAATTCCGAGTTATTGAGTTGAGAGAGAGTGTCTTGGAACGAGTCAAACTCAGTGAAATCAGTGATGGAGTTTGAGAATAATGGGATATTGTTGGAATTAGATTGTGCATACATGGTGATATAATTAGTTAGAGTAAGTAACTAGAATAAGAATGAAGATGAAGTGTGTATGGTAATACTACAAGTAATGCAAGGCCAAAGATTTAATATTTATATGATATGAGTGAGTGAATTATGTTTCATATGAGATGAGATGAGACATAACATAATGTTAAGTCTTAAGAAGGACAATATAATATTATTGTATTGTATGGGTCTCACTAGTTGTGTATGACGTGGATGATGACGTCATCATTTGTTTGGTTGAGAGAGAAGAAGAGGAAGCCGTTGACTTGTTTTTTCAACTCAAGTGAAAAGACTTCAAAGGATAAAAGTAAATCCTAATCAATAGGACACATTGCCACATTAGATGCTATTTTTTTCAGTGCTAAGATATTTCTTGTCTTTCAAAATGATTGTAGTTCAAAATATTTGTACATACATTTATTAATGCAATAATATTATCATAAAATATTATACTTTTATAAAATTAACTTTATTAATAAATTGAAATTAAAGTAAAAAGTAAATGATGCAATTAGAAAAATCGTAATTATTAATATATTGAAAAATGAAAATGAAAATTATTTTGAAATAAATTTTATTTGCTAAAATGATAGTCATTTTGAAATGGAAGGAGTACCATATTTGGGTGCTCGTTTTACCCGCACTTTTCTACAGAGCGGGTCAAGGTTTTAGGCTCTCAACCTAAAATATATTTATCCCGCCCTATTTTTTTGTGGGCATTTGCAGGCACAAATATTTACATAAAATTTTACGTTTTCAGGTCTAAAAGGTGCAAAGCCCGCAAGTATTCTCCGTCCATATTTTTTTTGTGGGGCGGGACAAATTTTAGACCCGCACCCTCAACTACGTCCGTCCCGCCCTATTTTTGTGGGCTTTTGCGAGATAGACCTAAACGGGATGGGCATGCCCGTTTGTTACCCCTTCTCTCAACATCCAATCAATCAATCAAAGTGCTCAACATCAATTACATATTTGATAAGTTTTTGAATTCAAGTTTTTTTGACATTTGATTTTTTATACATGCATTAAAAAATAGAAACATTAGATTGTGTAATATACATTAATATATAATAAGTTATAGTCATTGTTAGGTAATATAACTAAGCAATTTATTTTGTGCATTTTTGGTTTCCCTGTATTTATGCCATTTGCGTGTTTTCTGAGTTGTAGGTAAATATGAAAATACACTTCCGTATTGTTTCATAATTTGATTTTCAAAAAAGTATGGTAGAAGTGCATTCCGTATTTTGTTTGTCTGTAATTTTTGGTTTCATTTTGAATGTGTTTCATATGAGTTTAATTTTTTGCTATTATGTCTGACATGTCTGGTTTATTTATAAGTAATGTGATTGATAACCAAGATCGATTGAGGCTCAACAAAGTGTCATATCATGCATTTGTTCGTATGGAAAGAGCCCAACCTTCATCACCATCAATCGATGCTAGATCATTTGATGTAGAGGCATAATTTTCTAGGATCTAGTTGTCTTTGACTACGTCGTCCAGGAGGGAAGTGTCACCTGTTACTGCCCTGTAAGTCCCACATGTTCAGGTTGATGCACCTACTATAACACTTAATTTCTACCCAATAAATTATATAAAATCAGAGTCACAAAATTTCCAACAATCAAATGGAATGCTACACTTTCAACTTAAAATAACAACATTTAACACATATACATAACACTTTAAACTCGGATGAACCAACAGTAATATAAATTAATCTTTTAAAACCAACAACTTTCATAACTACGTAGAGGAATCATAAAATTTAACTTAAAAGAATGTAACATCTTTATCAACCTAAAACAACTCCAAATAACAAGTACTTAACGAAAATCAACAACTGAAGTAATAACAATGATAAAGCAACAAGCGTTCATCTCCCCGAGTGTTACGTATCTGAGTAATGACACCGACTCGAACTACTGAAGGTAAACTGCCTTCACTTTGAATTACATGCACGTTACCAACATGTGGGTAACATTCAAACAAAAGAGGTGAGATATCGAACAATATAATAGAATGTATGATAACTAATATATTAGAAACAAGTATAAGCTAGACGTCGAATGGTTGAATCAAAGACGATAAGACATTTGCTTTGAAAAAAGATTATCCTTTTTGATCTTCTCAGAGACCAACATAAACTCCTCTTGAAGGTGGTCAGCGAAGTCTTTTTCGGTGAAGAATTCTTCGACATAATACTACTTCCACCAGTATTCAAAAATAGGCGAACACAGGAAATTGATTTTGAAGTCGAATAAAGTTAGTACGGTTAGACCACCGTACCTACCAATATGCTTGATAGCAGTATCCTCTGAATAGTCTGCATTATAAAATAGCAGAAGCTTTTCTTGGGAATAGATTGGAGAAGGGAGTGTTTGGATGATACCAAATTATCGAGAGAGAAGATTCGGTTGATAAGCAATCAAACTTAGTTGATTCTTCGAACTCTTGAATATCAATGGCATGATTATTGGGCGAAGAAACGACTCCCAGATAACCACATACTCATCCACATGGTCATCTTCATCATATGAAGGATATGGTCGAATAAACCATTCTGGACCAACCTTTCGACTAGCGAAGGAATCCATAGTCGAAAAAAATTACTTACCCTTTGCAAACATCATTACAAAGCTAATAAACGCTTTCTGGAATTGTTGACCCTCATCAGTTGGAGTCAACATGACAAATCTAGTGCCTGCGACCCTTCTGTTTATGACTTCTGGGGCCCTCTCATTAATCTTATTCTTCTGAGGAAGAAAAGATTCAAAAGTGGCGTTGAACCAAAGTTGAAGAAGCCAAAAGGGGCCAAAAGGAGCAAAATCGCCTTGTCTCCAATAACTTTAAGCTGAGTCACACCATTGTTGATGGACTCATACATGTTGGCCAAAATCAATTCAGCCAGACAAATGGGATAGCCATGATGAAGCTGCGTTGCAAGGGTGAGCATCTTCTTAGTCACTTGAAGTGACTTGGTGCAGAAAACGAAGCGAGATAGCCACAAAGCTAGGAAAGCTACGTGTTCCACTTCAGAGAAAATGCTACTAGACTTATCGTGAAAGTGGTTGATCAATATGGTGTATGTGGGTTTCGTGGCCGAAAACCCAATAGCATCTTCAGATAAATCTCCAAGGTCGAAATAGTCACCAGTTGGTCGAAGACCAGTAATGCCTGCTATGTCGAAAAGAGTTGGAGTCACCATTCCACGGGGTAAACGGAAGGTGAAATGCGTACTATCCCAGAAATACAACGAAGATACCAGCATAAGAGGGTAATAAGATAACCTAGTCTTCAACAACATGACCAAGTCATAAATCCCCATATCCTTCCAGATTTGGGCCTGCACTTTTTCCATCTTAATTACCCATTCTGAATACTCTGAAGTAAGACTAGGGCAAGATCGAAAGATCTTGTTCCCCTTGTTCACAAATTAAAGGTTAATGTCTTCCTTCGTTTGAGAGTATTGCTGGTTAGCATGGGTTGCATCCTCAGGGTCATTCCTGGGTTTCTTCACGCAACCTATAGGCGTGAGCCTAGGGTGAGTTGGGAAGAAGGCATTATTTTGTTTTGGGTTCTCGAAGCATGCAGAAATTAGGCCAGACATGGCGTACATGTGCCAAGAATACTTAATAGGAATAAGTAACTGAGAATCATAAGCTTCACGCTATTCTCTGGTCATGGGTTCAGAAACATCCCTTCACTCCCCAGTCGAAACAAGAATAGGACTAGTGGAAAAGATCTATAGTTGTCACTGTAACTCAAAAACATTCTTAGTTTTGGGATTGTTTGGTGCGTTTGAAAGGAAAGCCATGGTTGAAAGTAGTGAAAGAACGAAGAAGATGCAGTTCTTAAGATTTCTCTTTGCAAGGAAATAAGGAATATTAGGAGTTGTAAAAAATTCTAAAGAAAAGGATTCGTGGCTATTTATAGTGTTCAGGGAAGAGTGTTTTCCCTCAAGACCATTTAATGCTGCAGAGTTAGTGGGGCACGTGGCGAATGTTGAGGCAGTTATCGTACAAGTCATGGAAACATTTACCATACTTTCCTAGGTTGTAGGGATAATGGCCATCATGGTAGCGTGGTAACGGCTGATTGACAGTGACGTATTGGGAAGAGGGTAATGATGACTCTGAATACTACAATGGTTGGTAGAAGGCAAAAAGCGCACGATTGACTTTTATGGCCAAAAAGAAGACAGATGTTGAATGGGAATCTCAAAGAATGACCATTTCTTCTTGCATCGAAATTGACATTCTTGGGGGGAAATTTGTTAGCTCCTAAATTCGACACCCACAACATATTGACCTTATTGGCCAAAAATAGGTTGAACAAATCTAAGTTGGAAATACTTCGACAGATGGGAAAATACTTAGAGAATTTCTAAGTTAAAGTTGATATTCGACTAAAAGGTTCTTGCGGCCTTCAACTGAAAGGCCTCCGTGGCCTTCGACTAAAAGGAAACCTCATATCAGCAACAAGTGATTTTGAATCTGAAGAAAGAGGGGAAAAGCAGTTCGCCTGACAGTTGAGGAAAGCAACGTGGCATGAATATAGAGGTCAAAGCATATGCAGAGGATACTTGTACTCATCTTAGAGCAAAGCAACTCCTCGACGGTTACCTAGTTCTAGTATAAATATAGGAAGTTTATGTAGATTTCCACGTGTTCAACTAACTGTACAAGTCATTCAATACTATTTGAGTACCCGCTGCGTGAGAAAGAATACTGAAAATGTACGTTTGAAACACCACATTTTATAATCAAAGTCTTTTACATTCCTCTTTACATTCCTTGCCATTTTATCTTACTTGCAAAAATCTATTTTCCCTTGCATTTTACTTGCACTTTTTACCAGATTTCTGTACTTCAACTCTTCTCAACCCCTTTTTTACTTACTTTATACACTCAAACTCATCTCAAACCTCAACCTTTCTCAATCGAACGTGCGCTCTTTATTAATATTAGCATTTATATCCAAAC